ATGAAGCCTAGTTAATTCTCGACTATCTTTTTGGGCTCTCCGAAATTTGTCATGATGAACAAAAAAGAAAAAGAAATATTGCTTTAGGTCACTAAGTTACCTATGTCTTAGAGAAGAAATACAACTTAGTGCATTCTGATCAAGAGTATGAAGAACCACTCTACTACAACGATGCATCATTTAGAGCGATCTTCAAGGAAGATAAAGGAAAATCACATGCTAGTGATACAGAAGAAGAGGCTGAAGATGTACATGCTCCTACTAATGAATCAAATTATCAGAATTTGGTTGAAAGATTTGATTGACTATAGACTCATTTTTATCAACGCTTTGATCATATTGATGCTCAATTTCAGCAGCACTAAAGTGACATTGGTTTCATGAAAGAGAATATGAATGAAATTAACACCAATGTGATGTTATTAAGTTCATACTATAACTTCTTTGTTGGTGTTCCTCCTCCTCCTTCAAATCAAGATCCTCAGGGATTGTTGTAGTTGTTTCTTATGTTTTTCTGTAGTTTGTTTGTGTTGATTGTATCTTTTTTCTTAGATGTTTTGTATTGATATCTAGTTGTGATTGTAGAATCCTTAATTGATATCAATATATTTTGCTTTAGCTTTGAATTGTTTTTTGAAATGTGTGTGAGTAATTATGAATATTATTAGATTTTTTAATCTTAATAGTGCTTTAACCTAAATTGTAAATTAAAATTAATTTCATTAGAAAATCTAATTATTCTAAATTTAAGTGATTCATATAACTTGATATTATTAAGATTGTCAGATTTCATGTCTCTTGTTTAGACTACATTAATTTATTATTGCAATTGTGATGTTTTTTCCTTATTTTGTATTTCACTCTTCAATTAATATTTATGCACATAGATTAATTTAAAAACTTTGATTAATGACTTTGGAAAGAATACAATTACTCTTTACAAATATACAAATGTACAAAAATCAAAAGAAATGCGCAATGATTCGCAATGTGAAAAAGATGCACAAAATAAGCCCAATAAATGCAAATATGCACAAAAGTGTATCACAAATTTGAAAAAGATGCACAAAGCGTCACTTGTGGTAGTTATTTCTTTCCAGACT